AGCTGTCAATCTGCTCTCTATGAGTCTGTCTCTATTTTTCTTGTTAGTTTGTTTTGTTCATTCTACATATGAGTGAAATCATATGGTACTTGTTTTCTCTGACTGGCTTATTTCATTTAGCATAATACTATCCAGGTCCCTCCATGCTGTCCCAAAGGATGAGATTTCCTTTTTCACAACTGAGTAGTATTCCATAGTGTAAATGTCCCACAGCTTTTTTATCCACTCATTAACTGATGGACACTTGGACTGCTTCCAAATCTTGGCTATTGTAAATTGTACTGCTATGAACATAGAGGTGCATATATTCTTTCAAATTAATGTTTCAGGTTTCTTTGGATAAATTCCCAGAAGTGGAATTGCTGGTTCATAAGGCAGTACCATTTTTAATTTTTTGAGGAAACTCCATACTGCTTTCCACAGTGGCAACACCAGTCTGCATTCCCACCCACGGGGCACGAGGGTTCCCTTTTCTCCACATTGTTGCCAGCATTTGTTGTGTGTTCACTTATTGATGGTAGCCATTCTGACAGGTATGAGGCGATATCTCACTGTGGTTTTAGATGATTAGTGACCTTGAGCATTTGTTCATATGTCTATTAGCCATCTGTATGTCCTCTTTGGAAAAGTGTCTGTTTAGGTCCTTTGTCCATTTTTTAGATTGGAGTCTTTGGGTTTTTTGGTGTTGAGTTTTATAAGTACTTTATAAATGTTGCATATTAACTTCTTATCAGACATATTGTACCCTTCTTTAAAAATTGCTAAAAGAACAAGTAGTTTAGGCCAAGCATCAAAAGCAAAATCAAATCTCTAAGGCGCTTCTAAGAATACAGAGGGGTGAATCCTCTTTTCACAATAACAGCTGAATAAATCAAAATAGCAAATCACTGTATTATGAATGCTTTTCCTTATGATGGGAATAAACTGACAAGCAAACAGAAATTCTTCTGGGAAAAAATCTCTACTATAGTTAGAATTTACCACAAGCTTCCAAAAATCCAATTTAAATATGTAAACCCTAAAAAGATAATATAGAAAAAGAACTTGATGGATAACAAATAAAATGTTAATGGGGTTGTCTTTAGTATTAATATCCAAGGTTTAACCTGATTTGGTAAAAAGAGATGGAGATAAAATATTAGTAACAATAGTGCTAGACATTTATTTAGCATTTTTCAGTCTACAGAGAATGTTGTCATACAGTTATCTGTGTGATGCTCACCACCTAGGAGGTAACAGGGCAGGGAGTATCATAACTCTGTCACTAGTGAGGCAGGTAGGCTTGATAGACAGTGTCACAGAGCTGGGCCCTGGCAGATACAGGCCCAAGCCAGCTCCTTTGGCTTCTTGCCCACTATCCTTTACACTTCATACAAGTCCTCAGACGACCATGCTTACTTTCTGCAGGCTCTTAGCTCTTAGGTAACATTTAGACACTGGCAGAGTATTGAGTGG